TTATTAAAATTTAATTGGATTAAATTCTAAAATATCACAAAATTCATGTGATAAACTCGAATTATTAAAACCGGTTCCCAACCTCAATTCTCTACTTATCATAGGATTTTGTTTTTATCAATTTATGTACGATGGCAAAATGTAAATAGTATCTCGTAACATAATCAATTAAATATGTTATTATTCTCGCTCGGATCAAATTATTGATGAAGATACCGTATGGGAGTGGTGCTACACTGCGGCTCATGGCGTCAATATATATCACTTTCAATCATAAAGGCAACTACAACCTGATCAGATGTCACGCACTGGTCACGTGACGAATACAAAAGAGGATCGAAACTTGAGCATGTACATGGCGCACTATGATATTGCATTCCTAACCTTAACAAAAGACCTCACGCATATTTCCCACTCATTCTACTCCCACCGCTTCTTCCACTTTTTCTGCCTTTTCTACATCTGCTTCTTCCTGATTCTTCTTGTTTCTCTGGCTTCTTCCACTTTGTCATCTTCATCGGCTTCTTTCACTTCTTCTGCTTCGTCAGCTTCATCGGTTTCTTCTGCTTCATTGGATTCATCAGCTTCTTTGACTTCTTTCCCTTCTTCCGCCTCCTTCTGCCATTTCTGCTTCTTCTCTTCTTCCTGTCTTGCCTCCTTATTCAGTTCAGCCCACCAGTATACACTCATTTTCAATCCACTCCTTTGCCTTTATTTACCAGATTCATAATTCCCCTTTCTTTTTAAAGCAGCAAGTATGAGCCCACACTATGGTGCGGCGCATTCTACTTGCTACATATATACCTAGAAACAAACAAGATAGATATATATATTTATTTGCAACAAGCTACACCTATCCATAACAACTGACGAAATACTTTTTCTTCTTTCTTTAATGCAGTAAGCACGAGTCCACACTATGGTGTAGCACATTCTACTTGCTACACTATGAGTAACAACGAAAAGGTGCTTCTTTCTTCTTTATTTAAGTAGCATGTACAAGCTCACATACATTTTACTTCTACTCATACATGTACTTCTCCACATTTTACTTTCTATTAAACAGCAAGTATAGGCCCATGCTATAGTGTGGCACATTTACCTGCTTTTTTTTTTTTGTTGGGGTATGGTGTTTTTGAAGATCATCTTTCAAGACTTTTTTTTTTTCTGCCTTCACTGAGGGTTTATAATTGGATTATGAAAGAGAGACAGAATTGTAAAGTGCTATGGCTATTGTATTTTACTTTTCTTCTCTCCTCTTTATTACTACAGTAATATTTGCTTAGTTTGATAACCAGTATATTACCATTTTTGTAAATTTTGTAACTGATTACTTTGGAAGCTTTCTTGATAAACATATATAAAATATAAGCAGTGCCAATTAGCCTTTGTTTCAATTGAAAATATTTAGCTAATCCTCTAATAAAAGCTTTGACACAAAATGTATAAGTTCAAAACTAAAGGACGTTTCTTGAGTTTCTAATAAGCTACCCTTTCTTAAAATATTTGAATATACTTAGGTGTCTTTTTGTTTAGTAAATCTTTACACTTAAATTACATTAATCTTTTTTAGCTCAAGGTAATATTTTAGTTGTCTTTCACTTCTCATTATTTCAAATGTTTGATTTCTTCTCCTTTTTTTTTTTTTTTTTTTACAAATGTTGATTCACCAAAACTAGACCGGATCATATAGCAATGTTTCCATTCTTTCATTCAAAACTGCATTCCATTCTTGTGATTCATGGCATTTGAAAAACAGTGTCAGAAGCTAATTTATGCTCTTGAACCATTTTAACACCATCTAGATTACCTTTTGCTCTGCATATACCTGTAATATTTTCTTTTGAGGCAGCAAGCATGAGCCTACACTATAGTGTAATGCATTCTACTTTCTACAAATATGTATAATAATTATATGTCCTATATATATAATTTTTAAACTATTTTTCTACCATCTACATTAGCTTCTATACTGGAAATATATCTAATGAATTCATGGCTACTAATTTCTACATTCAATCATTTTCAAGTAAATCCTTTCTGAAAGTTCTTGTTACTTTGATTTTTAACAATTCTTAGTGATGGGAAGTGGGTGGGACTATACATGAAGAAGCCAAAGAACTATTGATAATATTTGTTGATTTGAGTTTGCAACTCTTTTCAATATATCTTTCCAAAGACCTTTTCTCAAGATTGTTTAATATGGCTCTATATTATTAACAATGTCATCTCTAAATATTTGAAAATAAGGCATATGAGTTTCTTATTCTTCAATATATTGTTCAAAACTAAAAAGGTTTTGTTTAATTCAATTTTCATTTTTATCTCTTTATTCAGAATCATATTTTATTCTTAAGATTCATGGCCTTTTAGAAAATATTAAAAGCAATTCACACATTTATGTAGAATTTTGGACTATTTTCATACTAACTACATTTGCCTCTATGATGCATATACAAATAACTCTCATTACAGTTATTTCTTTTTTTTTTATAGCAAGCATGAGCTCATGCTATGGTACAGCGCATTCTACTTGCTATAAATACACAACTTTCTGGATTTTACTTTCTTTTAAAATAGTAAGTATAAGCCCACCTTATAGTGTAGCACATTCTACTTGCTACTGTATACCTGTACTTAACCCTTATAAGTTCTCTTTATATAGTTCATATTAACTGAATTGAATGCCTTAATGTAGAGCTTTAAACCATTTTAACACCATTTGCATTGGCTTCTGCATCAGGAATATACCCAAGGAATTCATTAGTTGTATAACTACTGATCTTCACATTTCAATATTTTCAGATAAGCAGGTTTCTTGGTACTCTAATTTACAACAGTTTCTTAGAGTGGGTAGTAGATGGAACTATACATGAAAAAACCAGATCTAAGTTGGGTAGTAAAAGAGAAATGCACTGCAGATCATGATTATTCACCTAATCCTTAAATACTATCTCAGATTATATGGATCAAATGGGTAATCCTTACAATAATAACCCTAGCATGACTATTGTCAATGCATAGAGCTATTAAATAAGTAAGTCAATGAATGTTTACGATTCGAGTAATGATAAGCTAAAGATTTTAGCAAAGGGTGGATTTCAGATTTTGTAGTGTAAATTCATGTCTTAGCAGAGATTTTAATAGTGAATAATCATTTAGCAATGCAGATTCGTGGCTTTGACGGAGATGGTCGTGATTTTAATAGTTGGTAAAGAATATACAAGATGTGACAACTATGATCACGCCGACCAATCAGATATTAGATTTTGGGTACGCACATAATTTCTTTCTCGAATAAGCCATACACTTCGTGATATTCATCACTCCATTCCTGGTATTAAAGATTTTGCCGTAGTAATAATGCAGTTCTATTTCTAATTATAACCTATATAGTATACTGTACGCGAAAAAAATTGGGCTATCATATAAACGGCACATCACTACATATAATCGATTCTCATATTAAAAGTATAAATACTTGGACAATTGATTTACGTACATCAGCCAACCAGATGTTCTATAAAAATAATTTGGTGGACGGGCCGGACCGGGCCGGGCCTAATTTTAAGATAAGCCCGGCCCGGCCCACCGTTGTGGGCTTTTTTTTTTTACGGGCCGGGCTTGGGCCCAAAAATATTTTGCGGGCTTGGGTTTGGGCCCAGCAAAGCCCGGCCCGGCAAAATAATCAACATTCTCAAGAACTTCACTTAAAAGCAAGTATTATACTATTTATTACTATTACTATCTATATTAGCTATATACAAGTACTAAATGCGGAAAAATAGTCGAATAAAAAGAGCGATTAAGACGTTTAAGGTAAATTTATATTTGAAAAAAAAAACTTCTATAATCTGTATATATTTGAGTTTAAACTACTTTTTTTAATAATTCTAATTTATATTACTTTAATATTACATAGATTTAATATGGCTTTACAGTAGTATAGATAAAAACGTGTTAGTATTAATTAATAATATAGATCAAAGATAGTGGTGCAACAGCTGTAATAACTAAAAAATAATTTATATAAATAAATAATAAAATTTCTTAAAAGTTTTCTTTATGAGTGCAAATGCGAGTAAAAAAATTTATTAAGTAGGATATTGCCTAATTGATAATATATTTTAAAGGTAGTAGCATCTTTAACAAAGGTAGTAATAATTAAAATATACTTTCTACTCAATTATGTAATCAAATACAATTAATAAAAAAGTTTTGCTCGTTAGTATAAAGTTTCACCTATATTATGAATTTGTTCGATTAAATTATATAATCTCCTATTAGTTCAGTCTGGGTTCAGTCTGAAGTTTAAAAAATAATATGAGTCCAGTTGTAAATATATATAAAATTTTATTAAAAAATTCTATAAAATCTGAAATTTCTCAAGATTTATTAATTAATTCTAAGTTTATACACTAACAAAATTTGTTCAGCACCAAAAAATACATTAAACTAGTAGAGTTATATTTATTTTACTTGAAAGTTTGAGAAAAGATGCTTAATTTTAATATTTTAATCAAAAAATCAAAATTAAGCATTTTTTCTCAAACTTTCAAGTAAAATAAAACAACTCTACCAGTTAAATATAATTTTTGGTGCTAAACAAATTTTATTAATGCATTAAGTTATAATTAATTAATAAAATTTTGAGAATTTTAAGAGTTTGTAAAATTTTATTAATAAAATTCTATAAAATCTTAAATTTTTTAAAATTTTATTAATTAATTCTAACTTAATATACTAATAAAATTTGCTCAGCACCCAAAAATACATTAAATATATAGAGTTCTTTTTATTTTATTTGAAAGTTTGAGAAAAGATGCTTAATTTTGGTTTTTTTGATCAAAATATCAAAATTAAGCATCTTTTCTCAAACTTTCAAGTAAAATAAAAACAACTCTACTGGTTTAATGTGTATTTGGATACTGAACAAATTTATTAATATATAAAATTAGAATTAATTAATAAAATTCTAAGAAATTTAAGAGTTTGTAAAATTTTATTAATAAAATTTTATAAAATCTTAAAATTCTCAAAATTTTATTAATTAATTCTAATTTAATGTATTAACAAAATTTGTTCAGCCTCTAAAAATACATAAAATTGGTAGAGATGCTTAATTTTGATTATTTTTGATCAAAAGATTAAAATTAAGCACTTGGGGTCTTTGCAGTAGAAAGGGCTGATACTGGAATATATACAATTTTAAAATAATTGAGTTTGTTTTATTCGAACTAATCCAGATTAATCAAACTTTTCATAATTTGATTGGCTAGTTATATCAAGTAATCTCATAATGTATGAATCTCCTAAAAAAATTTTTTAAAATATCTCAATTTTTTATTATACAAATCAATTTTCATTTATAATTAAATATATCAAAAACTCAATTTTTATTTTTTAGATAATATTGGCCTTTTCTACTGAATAGCCCAATCTTTTCTCAAACTTTTAAGTAAAATAAAAAAATTTTATTGGTTTAATATATTTTTGGATGCTGAACAAATTTTATTAGTGCATGAAGTTAGAATTAATTAATAAAATTTTAAGAAATTTAAGAGTTTGTAAAATTTTATTAATAAAATTCTATAAAATCTTAGAATTATCAAAATTTTATTAATTAATTCTAACTTAATATACTAACAAAATTTATTTAGCATCAAAAAATATATTTAACCAGTAGAGTT